ATTAGCCAGGCATGGTGGCAGGCACCTATGGTCCCAGCTACTGGGGAGACTGAGGTGGGAGGATTACCTGAGTGCAGGAAGTCAAGGCTGCAGTGAGTCACGAAAATGGTAACTATGTGAGGTGATGGATATGTCAATTAACTTTGTTGTGGTGATCATTTTACAATCACATATTGATATATGTATCAATATGTTCTGATACATATATCAAAACCTCAAGTCCAGGTGTGGTGGCTCACACCTGTAATTCCAGCATTTTGGGAGACTGAGGTGGGAGGATTGTTTGAGCCCAGAAGTTTGAGACCAAGCTGGGCAACATTAGTGAGGATCCCTGTCCTCTAAAAAAAAAAAAGAAAAAGATAAAAATGTTTGAAGAGTCATTTTTGTTTATAAGTTATACATATATAATATAAGACTGTTGCTATTTGATATGGAGGGTTGACAGTGAATATTCCATTATCAAGAAGGGGCTTTGGAGTTTCAGAGTCGGATTCTTGATTCTATTGAGAAGACGGTCGGAAATAAACAGCACAGTTGGGTTTTTGTTTCGTTACGCTGCTGCTCCGTGTTCTCTGTCCTCTCATCTTTTGTTTATTTTTTTGTTCGCACGACAGATTTACTCTGTTGCCCAGGTGGGAGTGCGGTGGCACGGGTCGTAGCTCACTGCAACCTTGCGTCCAAGGTTCAAGTGATTCTTGTGCGCTCAGCTCCGCGGTGTAGCTGTGATTACAGGCTTGTGCATCAGCCAGGGGTAATTATTGTTTTTAGTAGAGATGGGAGTTTTCACATGTTTACCACGCTGGTTCTTGAACGCAAGGCTCTTAGGTAACTGCCCACGCTGACCTCCCAAAGTGCTGGATTACAAGGCCCGAGCCCATCCAGCTCTCTCTCTCTCTAAGAGTTCTGTTCTCATGGATTTTGTTTTTTTTTTTTTTTTTTGAGACGGGTCTCCTCTGGGTAACCCAGGCTGGAGTGCAGTGGCACAGATCTTGCTCACTGCAGCCTCAACTTCCTGGGCTAAAGTGATACCCCACCGGTCAGTCGTCCGCAGTAGCTGGGACTACAGGTGCGTGCCACCCATACCCTAACTAATTTTTTTTTTTATAAAGAGATAGGGTTTCTCCAGTTGCCCGGCTTCGACTCCTGGCTCAGTTTTCTGCCTGCTCAGGCCCCCAAGTGCTGAGGATTATCAGGCATGATCCACCGTGCTGGGGCTTTTGTGTGTGTGCATAGAGAGCGTGCAAATGTGCGCAGGCTTCTGGAATGCCTGCGCTCACAGCAACTGCACCAGCCTTGCCTTTCATGAGTGTTGGGGATAGATAGGGTGTGAGCCACTGCGCCGCGCGCATATGTTAAAAAGGGGTCACCTCTGGTGTGGGGACCACTGGAGATAGGGCTACGGCTATGTTTACTTTCCCGCGCTGTCTGAGTTATGTCGATGTGATGTATCCAATAATCAGTGCATAACTTTGTAGACGGTTGAAAAGAAAGGGAGGGAAGGACACGGGAAGGAAGAGGAAGAGGAAGGAGAAGCCAATTTCTGTGACCTGAGGCAACCAACAATGTGCGCACCTCGCTTGTACCACAGTGTTTGCGTATCCATAAACATATGGCAGAACTTGAAAGAAGTTTTGAGAGGTTAATGAACATGATGCGACGAAGTGCTTAGCACTTTGTCTTAGCATAAGTAATGCTGGCTACTACCAGCTTGCAAACAATGCCTTAACTTCGCGTATCTAGCATAAGTGTTAAGAAAAAGGTAGTAAATGTCTTGTCTAAAGAAACAAACTATTATTTCTAACATTATTTTTCTTTCTATCTTCGTTTCTTTTTTTTTTTTTTTGAGATGGAAGTTTCACCTACTGTGGTTGCCAGGCTGGAGTTGCAATGGCCTGGGATGCTCAGCTCAACAGCAACCTCTCCCTCCCGGGTTCAAGCGATGTTGTCCTGCTCAGCCATGCAGTAAGTGTGGGGATTATAGGCCGTTCACACCATGCCACCACCATTTTGCCATTTTTCAGTTAAGAGACGGGTTTTTCCCTGTTGGTCAGGCTGGTCTCGACCTCCACCCTCAGGTGATCCGCCCACTCGGGCCTCACCAGTGCTGGGATTACAGGTATGACGCCACCACATGGCTTTGCTTTTTCCTTTTTATCTTTTCTTTTTTTTTTTTTGTAAGACAGAGTCTCGCTCTGTTGCCCCAGGCTGGAGTGCGGTGGCGTGATCTCACTGCTCACTGCAACCTCCGCCTCCCGGATTCAAGCGATGCTCCTGCCTCAGCCTCCCTAGTAGCTGGGACTACAGGCACGTGCCACCACGTCCGGCTAATTTTTGTAGTTTTAGTAGAGACGGGGTTTCACCGTGTTTGGATCTCCTGACCTCCTGATCTGCCTGCCTCGGCCTCCCAAAGTGCTGGGATTACAGGCGTGCGCCACCACGCCCCGCCTTTGCTTTTTCTTTTTTATGCCTTGCAAATGTTCTTTGTTTTTCTGCTTTGAGTTTTTGCAGCTGGTTCTTTTTATTTAGTTCTTTTGTTGTTTTTTTTTTTTTTTTTTTTTTGAGACAGAGTCTCGCTCTGTTGCCCAGGCAGGAGTGCAGTGGCATGATCTCATCTCACTGCAACCTTTACCTCCTGGGTTCAAGTGATTCTCCTTCCCCAACCTCCCAAGTAGCTGGGACTACAGGCACAGGCCACCATGCCCAGCTAATTTTTGTATTTTTGGTAGAGATGGGGTTTCACTATGTTGGACAGGCTGGCCTCAAACTCCTGACCTCAGTTGATCCACCCTCCTCGGCCTCCCAAAGTGCTGGGATTACAGGCATGAGCCACCGCCCCCCACCAGCACTTGGTTATTTGTTGTTTCTTTGTTTGTTTTGTTTTTTTATGCTACCCCACCCCCTCTGGTTCTTCGTTTTAAAGAAAAAAACAGGTCCAAATTGAAGGCTATTCTTTGAAGTAACTGGCCAGCACTCTTCAAAAATGTTAATGTCATGAAAATAAAGATTGAGAAACCATTAATGCTAATTTCCTGATATTAATCATTGAATATTTATTATTAGTTAGTCTGAAATTATGTTACAATGGTTACTAAGTACACGTAGTAGACTATGTAGAAACACCGCGCTCCACTGCTAACAGAGTGCACATTGATGCAATTTCCCTGAAGGATAGTTTGGCAATACCCTTCAAAAGCAGAAACGTACATACTTTTTGATCAAAAATTCCGCTTATAAGTAATTGGCTTACAGAGTTGGTTTCATATGTCTGAAATGGTTTAAATAAAATTGTGTATTCATTGTAAGGGCAGCAGGCTGGGCACGGTGACACACACCTGTAATTTCAGCACTTTGGGAGGCGGAGGTGGGCAGATGACTTGAGGTCGGAAGTTACACACCAGCCTGCAACTGTTCTGGAACTTTGTAAGACATTGTAAGGGCAGTTTGGAAACAATGTACATGACAGTAATGGGACAGGGTTTTTTTTTTCTTTTTTTTTTTTTTTTTGAGATGGACTCTCCCTCTGTCACCAGGCTGGAGTGCAGTGGTGTGATCTCAGCTCACTGCAACCTCTGCCTCCCAGGTTCAAGTGATTCTCCTGCCTCAGCCTCCCGAGTAGCTGGGATTACAGGCACCCGCCACCACGCCCAGCTAATCATTGTATTTTTAGTAGAGATGGAGTTTCACCATGTTAACCACGCTGGTTTTGAACTCAAGATCTTAGGTAATCTGCCCACCTCGACCTCCCAAAGTGCTGGGATTACAGGCATGAGCCACTGCACCCAGCCAGTAATTTGATGGTTTTCAGTAAATTATTATATACTTCTAAAATATAGTAAAATGGACACAATAGACTCCTATAAATGTACTTTTCTGGAAAGAATCCCAAGAATAGGGTTATTATTAACAGAAAAAAGTAAAGCATAGAACATTTGGTAGAATATGCCCTCATTTGTGTGTGGGAAAATGTATATGTGTATGTATGTATATGCATTGATTTTATGTACCTATTTATATTTTATATGCACATATACACATATATTTGTATACTTCTATATATGCTTATATACATATATTTGTATACATTGGTATATGTATATATTTGTAAATGAATAGAATAGCTCTCTAATGATGCCTAAGAAAGTTGAGAAAATTTTGGTCTCGAAAAGGAACTGAGTTGCTGGGAGAGACAGGGTAAGGGAGACTTACCTCAGTATTCCACTTTGTGTTTTGTGCAAAATACAAGTATTCCTATCTTTAAAAAATTAATTAATAAAAAAGCTGTGTAGAATGTTAGAGAGCCAATATGAAATCAATAGAAAAGAGTGAGCATTTGTTAATAACATGAGTGCAAGCAGATGGAGAAGGAACTTGTACTGAACAATTCTCCAAATATAGAAATAATTTGATTTTTTTTCTGCAAAGGCAGAAGAACAAGGGGCAGGAAGCCAGAGAAAGTTAGACAAACATGGCATGTTCAGAAATCTGTTTCCAGCTTAAAGGTTATCTTTTTATAGGGTGAGGATTATCACGTGATCGATTTCTTTTTTTTCAAAACCAAGGTAAAGTGGTTAATTTTATGGTATATAAATTATACCTCAATTTAAAAAAAATTAACTTTTAAGAAGTTAAGGATGATGATACATTCATCAGCCATCAAATTAGCCGGGCGTGGTGGCATGTGCCTGTACTCCCAGGTACTGGGGAGGCTGAGGCAGGAGAAATGCTTAAAGCTGGGAAGCAGAGGTTGCAGTGAGCCGAGATCGTGCCACTGCACTCCAGCCTGGGTGACAGAACGAGATCCTGTCTCAAAATAAATAAATAAAATTCAAAAACTCAAAATCACTATATAATAATATTTAAAATAAAAAATGTAAAAAGCAAACAAAAAAACCAAAATAGAGTTGTATCAACAAGGTTTTGCTTGTGATTTGATTTGGTGGCCGTTATTGTCCTGTTCTCTTTCAACACAATAACCCTAATCCTCTCCCTACTTCTTTCAGAAAGAGCGAGAGAGTAAGTCTAGCCTATTTTTACAAGAACACAGTGGCTATGGACAGTAAGTACTCTCCCATGTGAAAGCACCAGCTAATTAGACTTTGGTGGATGGTCATGACGTACCCAGTGACATGCTTTTACAGTTCATTGTCATTGTCCTAGGTGCTGGTGTGAAAATGATTCAGCAAAAGTGGAAAACTAAAAATTCTAGGGCAGTATGAAAACTGGGAAAGCAATTACAGCGGAAGTTGCCTTCCCCATGGTAGCCTAGCAACTTCGTGTCTCTCCAAGGCAGAAAGGAAAATCAAGTTTAACAGGCCTTCCTGAAGGCTAGGTGTGAAATACCAGAAGCCATCTTTGTTTCTGGCATCACTAAATATTTGTTGATACAAAGTATTACACATCTGTTCTCCTACCTCTCAGCTAAACTGCCAAAAGTTAACCCTTTCTGGAGATGCAGAATGGAGCAATATACCTAGCTCTCATTCATTTATTTCCCTTGCTGATATTCTTGCATAGCTTTTAGTTTATGCATTTGTCCCAGATAAACCTAGAAAAAACCACTTGTCGTAGGACAAGATGAGCTGATGATTTAAATCATTCTCCCACTGAGGAAGAAACCATCCTGTGGAAAAGACTATATAAGGTACTTCCTGATTGAAAGGTAGGGCTCTGGAGTCAGACATCTTGAATTTGAATCCCAGCCGTGAAATGTATCAACTGTGTGCCCTTAGGTAAGTAACTGAACTTCTCTGGCATCAGATCCCTCTCTGGTGGTGGTGGTTGTTGTTGTTGTTGTTGTTGTTGTTGTTGTTGTTGTTGAGATGGAGTCTTACTTTTTCGCCCAGGCTGCAATGCAGTGGCACCATCTCAGCTCACTGCAACCTCAGCACCCCCAGGTTCAAGCAGTTCTCATGCCTCTGCCTCCCAAGTAGCTGGGACTACAGGAGCCCACCACCATGCCCGACTAATTTTTGTATTTTTAGTAGAGATAGGGTTTCACCATGTTAGTCAGGCTGGTCTTGAACTCCTGACCTCAGGTGATCTGCCTGCCTCGCCCTCCCAAAGTGCTGGGATTATAGGCGTGAGCCACTGCAATTGGCCCTCTCTGTTAATTGTAGGTGCTGAAAGGAACCCAGTGAACTAGTGATAATAAGTATAATGTACCTAGTGTACCAGGTCTGATGTTTAATTCGTATTCAGAAAGTAGAAGCTATTTTCGTATGATAGGTCATTAATGCCAATTTTATGTATCTGAAAATGAGGATGTGGGGGGTTCCAGGAAGTTGTTTAAATGCTTTTGGTGCTCAGTTCCTTTACTCTGCCCAGGGTGACCTGCAACAGACCTTTGGGGAACTTTGCCTGCTTCTTTGCTAGGCTGAGGTCCCATTCTCTTGGATCCTTTGCTAATCTGCCGATCAATCTTGTAAACTATTTATTGCAGAGGTATTAATGACTTTATTTGACTTTTCTACTTAGAGACAGATAGATTAAGAAGTGTTTCAGGCTGCGGCCAGCTGGGACCACTCAGCGGCCTTTAGGTAACGTCTCTTTTGGCACAGGTCAGCCTGGCAGCCTGGGCTGTGGCCCCTGTATGAATTGGCCTCTTGTACTAGAGGATGGTTGGGTGGGTGGTTGAGGTTGCTCTTCTCATACTCTGGGGTCTTTGTTCATATTTATGACGCTACATTTCTGCTTCCCTTTCTTACTTCTCCCTTCCTTCCCAGATCAGAGTGGAATAGAGCTCATTAAAGCTTTATAGGGGTAGTGCCAATAGAGAACTTCAGGTCTGGAGAAGAATCATTAGTAAAGATTGACTGTGTGCTCTGGGTGCCTTTAGACAGCCACTGTTTCCATTGGTGTTTAATATTTATTGCTTTCTCATAATCTTCCAGCTGCTATCTTGTCATTGTTAGGAAGACTGGGGAAAAAGTCCTGTGGATATTTATTTTGTACCACCTATTTACTATATCACTTGAAAGTTTGAGTTTTGTGTTTCTCATATAAATTATGAATAATAAAATAAAAATCATCACTACTGCTTTCAGGCCAGATATATTTTTATTGCACAACATGTATTATGTGCAAGAATATCACAAGATTTGGAAATGTTAGTACTAGCAGAGGGTGACACAACGCAATGATAAGACAGTATGAAAAATGGAGCTATGAATAAAAAAGAATCCCTAAGTCCCCAGAGCCTATGAATATGTTATGTTGCATAGTGATGTAGTTTGGATGCCTGTCTCTCTCCAAATCTCATATTGAAATGTGATCCCCAGTGTTGGAGATGGGATCTGGTGGAAGGTGTTTGAATTATGGGGGCTGATTCTTTATGAATGGCTTGGTACCCACCCCATGGTAATAAGTGAGCTCTCATTCTGGTAGTTTCTGCGAGAGCTGGTTATTTAAAAGAGCCTGGCACCTCCCCTTCCTCTCTTGCTCCCTCTCTGTCTTGCCATGTGACACTCCTGCTCCCCTTTATCTTCTGCCATGATTGGAAGGTTCCTGAGGCCCTCACCAGAAACCAGTGCCTACATCATACTTCCTGTATAACCTGCAGAGCCCAAATGAACCTCTTTTCTTTATAAATTAACCAGTCTCAGGTATTCCTTTATAGCAATACAAGTGGACTAACACACATAGCAAGGAGGAATTAAGGTTGCACATGGAATTAAGGTTCCTAACGAGCTGACTTTAAGATAAGGAGATTATCCTGGATTATCTGCATGGGCCCGGTGTAATCACAAGGATCCTTTTAGTAGAAGAGGGAGCCCAAAGAGTAAGGCAGAAAGAGATTTGAAGATGCTACCTTCTGTCTTTGAAGATGGAGGAAAGGAGCCACAAGCTAAGAAATGCAGAAATTGGAAAAGAAAAAGGCAAAAAACCAGACTCTCCCCCAGAGCCTCCACCAGAAGGAATGTAGTCCTGCCAACACCTTGATTTTAGCTCCACGAGACCCAATTCAAACTTCTGACCTCCAGAACTACAAGGTAATAAATTTGTGTTGGTTTATGTCACTAAGTTTGTGCTAATTTGTTGCAGCAGCAGTAGGAAACTAATACACTGCTGCTGAGGGCTTTTGTCAATAAAGACGATACTGATATGAAAATACCTGTACTATAATTGCAAACACAAATAGCAAGTGCTTAGTGGACAAGGAGAGAAGAGCCTTCTGCTATGTAGAGTTCAGATGTTGCTTGATGATGGAGTTTACATGGGAAATTATATTATGCATACAGGTATTTAGTATGTATAGCAATCCCATGAGGTAGTGACTGTCTCCAATTTATAGAGGAGGAAACAGATAAGAGAAGTTGTACCATGACCCACAGCTAGTTAATTGAAAGAACTATGATTTATAACATGCATTGACTGCATCCATAGTCCGTTGTTTCAGCCACTGGGCAATTTTGCCACTCGCTTCAATGGTTGGTCAAGGGGATATGAGTGGGTCATCAACAGCATCTGATAAATACCTCAAATCAACATGCCCCAAATTGAATTCATGATCTTAACCTCCCAGTCTGCTCTTTCTTCTGGGTTTCCTGTCTTATTAAATGATCTCACTGCCAACCCAGAACCTTGAGCCTTTTCAGTATTATGCTAGATTCCTCCTTTTCCTACACCATCCATATCATGCCTGTCACCAAGTCTTGTCAATTCTACCTTTAAACTTTTCTCAAATCTACCCAGTCTGTGCCTTTCACCGCCAATGTATAATCTCAAGGCTACCACCATCTCTCACCTAGATGCCTCCATAGCCCCCCCATTGGTCTTTCCAACTCCTATCTCCAGACTTTGTCGCTTCTAATCCATTGGCAACAGAACAATCAAAGTGGTTTCCAGAAACGTACGTGCAATTATGCATCCTGTCTGCTAAAAGTAATTCAGTGACTTTCCCTGAGGATAGAGGCTGCGAGTCCTAACAGGTTTTTCCAGACATTGCAGGACCTTGTACTTGCTTACACTTTAACTTCACACCATATTCCTTTCCTATTCAACAATTCCCTAAAAACAGTGTCTTTTCCCCTCACCTACACACATACTTTCTACCTTCAGTCCTTCAAATATGCCGCGCTGTCTCCACTCTCAGGGCCTTTGCTCACCCTCTCTTCCTCTGGTTATGACTTACGATCCCTCAGATCACAATTACAAGTCACTTCTTTAAGAAAGTCTTCTCTGATCTCCTTTTCTTTTGTTTTCTTTTCCTTTTATTATACTTTAAGTTCTGGGATACATGTGCACAATGTACAGGTTTGTTACACAGGTATACACATGCCATGGTGGTTTGCTGCACCCATCAACCCGTCATCTACATTAGGTATTTCTCCTAATGCTCTCCCTTCCCCAGCCCCCCACCCACCAACAGGCCCTGGTGTGTGATGTTTCTCTCCCTGTGTCCATGTGTTCTCATTGTTCAACTCCCACTTATGAATGAGAACATGTGGTGTTTGGTTTTCTGTTATCTGCATGATTCCCACAGCATCTGGTATGTCCTTATCATGGCATTTCTCACCCTGAATTGTAAGCTGTTTACATGTCTAGATCCACCTCCCTGATCCATAACTGAGAGCTCTGTTAGGTAAGAACTATCAGAATTGATCATTGTTGTATCATCAGTACACAGTACTATCTGGCACATAGTACATACCTATGGAACAGATAAATACCACTGTTCACTGAGTGAGGGAAAAAATTTTCTGCATCCTATGGCAAAAGTGATAAACATGTAAATCTGGCTGGCTGTTGACTGTTCCCAAAATGCCTGATATCTGAGAGTTCAAAGCAGTTTTTTTCTTTAAATACCACACAGCAAAGAAAAGGCCTCTCTTTGAAGTCAGCCTAGGAAACCCAGGACCAGGAGAAAGTGTGGTATAAATAGGCCTACCTCCCACCTGCTGCTGGAGGAATTTATCACAACTCTGAAGAGTATCCAAGAAGATACGTTTCCCGGAAAATCAAACCAAAGATCTTTCCAGAGCCCCGACTTTTAGTAATCCAGTACAATCGGTCTATTCATTTTTCTGGTAATGATTTCTTTCCCCCTCAAAGCACTCAATTCATTTTCCATCACTGACATGTAATCCAGAAATAATAGAGGTTAGTCTTGTATAACTCATATCCAAAAAGGGAAAGTGCCAACACCCTGAAAGAAAAGCTCTGAATTAAGTATTCCCAAAAATAATTCTCAGCAAATCTGGGGGATGTGAAAAGGCCTATTCAGTTGTCGATGATAATTCTTTTTGCTGTTTATTATAAATGTGGCTCCCCGATAGAAAGCGTTAAGTTTAAAAACACTACTCTGGCACAGTCCTTGTAATTACATCCCAGGATTCAAATCTGAAAATTGCTTCTACTTCTATTTTCTAATAAAGTCTTACTCAGAGGTGCTAACACTTGAAATTGGTCTTTAAGAACTCTTAAAAAAAAAGGGCCAGGCACAGTGGTGAGCGCCTGTAATCCCACACTTTGGGAGGCTGAGGCTGGTGGATCACCTGAGGTCAGGAGTTCAAGACCAGCCTGGCCAACATGGTGAAACTCCATCTCTACAAAATTACAAAAATTAGCCAGGCATGGTGATGGTCACATGTAATCCCAGTGACTCAGGAGGCTGAGGCAGGAGAATCACTTGAACCTGGGAGGCAGAGGTTGCAGTGAACCAAGATCATGCCACTGCACTCCAGCCTGGGTAACAGAGAGAGAATCTGTCTCAAAAAAAATAAAAAAAATTTTAAACTCCCACTGTGTGGCAAC